ACCTGCTGGAGATGCTCTTCTTAATGCACCCCAGGATCCCATTGGCCTTCTTGGCCACGAGGGCACACTGCTGCCTCATGGTCAACTTGTCGTCCACCGCGACTCCCTCTCTCTCATTCCTGGCCTATTCTTTTCCTAAGGGCAGAACATCTTTGGGACACAAACTTTCCATTTGCTTTGTGCTTGTTCAGTGTCTGACCCAGTGAGTTTGCTGTTCAAAGCCTTCTGGACACTTTTGTCTCCCATTTTCTTTTCATTAGATCGTATTTGATAACGTATATATATTTTCAGTAATTAGCGCTTAACTACTGTTAGTTGCAGACTTTATTTTCAGAGCTGATTGTAAGTCCCATGCAGGATCCATATGTGATCTGTGCTGAATACTCAGCAGTCAGATCCTAAGTGCACTCCTAGCAGTGTATTATTTTACAAGGCCAGCTAGAACAAATTAGGATTTTCTTTGTAGTAATAATAGAGCTGATGGAACTGATGCCTCTTCTTCCCGGAAAACTGTCGTAATCTTCCCCTGGAAAAAACAATTGTGTTTGTTATTTTATAGGTAGAGAAATGATCGTACCATTATGGAACATAATAAGTTTGAAAAGCCTTTAAAATATGAGGCGAACAAGACATAGGAGTTACCCTTGTTGAATATATTGGTGGAGTGACCCAAATCTGACCTCAGGTTACGAGTTCCTCAAATTTGAGTGGCCCCACATTACTTTCTCCTCCTTTTTTTTGGAAGGAGATGTGTTAATGATGAAAAGAACAGGGAAGAAAAAAAAGAAAGGGGCTATTCCAAGCATCCATTCCTCTATCTTTTTCTATTGTTTATACAGCTTCATTTTTTTTCACATTTTGTTCATGTCTAGGGGAAGCTGAAAAGAAAATCCCGCTCAGAAATGGAGTTGAACTAAGTCTTGCACTGACTAATAATGAAGAAAATAAGTCTCTAAGGAGCTGTTACCCTTTAGAGAAAGTAGATGTACATTTGAACAACATTTCTTCTTGTACCAGTCTTGGTATAGTATTTTAGTATATATCACTCTTGACAGCAGTAGAATATCAGGAAAATATTGAGGGGGTGGAAGCCAGCTCTATGAATCTCCTGCCTTTTCTGTTATTTTGTTTCATGCTGATATATTAGAATTTTTGAACATCCAAAATACAAAAACTCAGTTCCCTCTGGGGTTGTTCCTGGAATCAGTCGGTAATAACTGGTTACTGGCATGAATTGAGCATGTTTTGAAATTCCCTTTCTGCAAGGGAGCTTTTTAATTCCAGATTGATCTGGTGAGCTGCTTATTGCCAAAGCTTCCCATCTGTCCCATATTTCCCCTTGCCCCTGACCACCTTGTTTTCCCATTATATTCATGTTTCAGTTGTCCTTGCATGCTTTTTTCCTTCCTCCTTCATATTTAAATGCACTTCACACAATCTGTGATAGCCTTTTGTGTAGCATTTAATAGGTGGGCATACCACCTGATTTGATGAACTACCCTTCAAATTTTAAATAGTTAAGATGGTTTAGGTTCATTAATGCTTTAAAAGAACTTTCCATGCTAGCAGAAGCAGTTGAACAGTATTCTTCCTCTTTCTTGGGATTTCACAAGGAAACATTAGCCAGTAGCTAGTCATCTAGCTAGTTCTTAGTTGTCAATGGGCAAAACTATTTTTTTTTCTTTTTTTTCTGTCAATGCTCCTGAGGACTAGAATGATCTAAAAGAATATGGATTTTGATCGTTGTGGCCCATGTATTCTGTCACCTGAAGGAACATGGGCTTACAAAGCATACATGAAATTTTATTTTAATAGTTCTGCATATAATGTAAAGGGAATTATCGAAAATACCTTAAATAAGTCTGCATATATTCCCAGAGGAGGAGTGCGTTTTGGTATATTGCTGAAACTCTGTCCCCATAGTCTTTTCTGAGTTGTATCTTGACAATATTATTAGCTATTTGAGAAATGTGTTTCTGCAAATATATATATTTGGTGAGTTTTGTGGAAAAATAGCTCCATTGGGCTGCTACCTCTGGCCAGTCTGAGTGCTAACTCAGAACTTCTAGAGAAATGGCTCCCAGCAAAAATGAAATACAGAGTTTACTTCTATCACTTGTATTTTTTACAGGATCCTGTGTTTTCTGTATTTTTTTCCACTTCCTTCACTTGAGGCCCTGATTCTGAAAAAAAAACCTATAAAATGTGTGATTGGGATTCCCCAGCCGATCTACTGAGAGAAAGAGGAAAATATTGTGACCTGCTTAGTGCTGGTGGATACACATCAAAGCTAAAGCCTTAATCCTGCAGCTCAGCACTTCTAAGTGGGCTACTGCTTAAAAATACTGCAGTGAAATTGCAGATATATTTGAATGTTTGCCAGGTGAAACCTAAGTGTGTCGTAGTGCTCCTCACACAGACAAAACAGCCTTTCCTACAACTGTCTGAAATATTCAGAGAGTCTTGTTGCTCCTTCTCTTAGTTTGAGTTTTGCTCGTAACTCTCTTTTTAGATTTTTTTCCTTTTTTTTTCCTAAAATAATGACAGATTTTTCATAATCATCATTTTTGGGGGGCAGAGGGAAAGAAGATGAGGACTGTGTACTTGAGACAAGATTATCTCTTCATTTTAGATAGGAATATACAGTCATCTCAACTTTGACTCCACAAAAACTCTACCTTCTTCATACTTAGCTAACTGATCATCTAATGGCACACTATAGTTTCTTCCATAACACAGAGGTACCATCCAGCCTCATCTGCACATAACACTATTAGTTGCATATTAGTTAAACTACTTTGCAACTTAGTTGCACTAATTCTTAGGCATCCATTCAGGAAGAGTAGTTGCTACAGGAAATGGTTATTATGGTTATTACTGAATATTTAAGTCAAAAAAAAAGATTGTATGAGTTTTGTGAGGGATTGCAATGTTCTGTAGGAGTCAAAATTATACTTAGTTTCTGAATTAGAAAGATTCCTCCATCCAACCCTCTGCCAAAGATCTCTGTAATTGAAATTATCTCAGCGTTGAGTATGCTCTAAAAAATGAATTAGAGGAACTGAGAGCATTGGGTACCTGCCTTATTTGCCAGTGAGGACTGCATAGTGTTCAGATACTTTTCAGATAAGGTATCTTCTAACCAAAAAATGGATAGATTTTCTTCAAACCTCTCAGAGAAGTTCAGCCATAGGGGAAGAATAATGATAGGAAGCTTAGCAGGAAGTTACAAGAAACTGGGGGAAATCATTTGAAATGAAAAAGTCTGTGTAATCTGGTGAGATGATGTGAAAAAGCAGATGTGCATCCAAGGTGGAATAGTAGGAGAAATTCATGGGAACCCACGTTATCCCTTTTCAGCAGTTCTGGAAATTAAGCCGTCAGGGTTATTTTGAAGGATAGAATATTGGAGCAGAAGATAAACAGACTATGTCCTTTGAGGCCTTCTCAAATATTTATGTAACTTAAAGGAGAGGTAGTTGTCTCAGATTTTACTGCCTTTGCCTTTTTACAGGAAATTTGGGGAAAAAAATCTGGTTTTGAGTTTGAAGATGAGGATGTGTTCTCCCTTGGGGCTGCAGGGTGGGTTTTATAATGTTCAGGGTCAAAGACAAGTGACCAGAGCTTGCACAGCCTGTGCTTTGGCTTTCTCTCCTCCTGAAGATGTGGTTTCTTGCACGTCTCCTTAGGGCTTCGTTAGGATGTTCAGCATCGGTTACCTGATCCAGTGCTGCCTTCGGATCCCGTCCACCTTCAGGCATCTCTTCACTGAACCTTCTCGGCTCCTTTCGCTCTTCTACAACAAGGAAAATTTCCAGCTTGGAGCTTTTCTGGGATCTTTTGTCAGTATATACAAAGTAAGTGTATAACACACGTAAATGACGAGTGCAGTGTGCGTTTGGGGGATTTGGTTTTTTGTTTTGTTTTGTTTATAATTTTCCAAATATCAAGAAGAGGTAAAAGGCCTAGCCACTTAGTATTGTTGCTGGATTCTGCAGAATGTCACTGAAGATATCTGCTGTATCACAAGCAGCAAACTGGTCTCCCATTCCATGATTCGTTCTTCTGTTTTTTTCTATCATTTCTCAGTCAATGAGATGGATTTTACAGCCTGATTTCAAGATCAAGACATGTGGAGTATTTCAGAGAAAGTGAACTCAGATTTCAAAGGGACTTTCTGCTGCACAAAAATGTTTCAGCCCAGATACAACTAGTGACTGCAGTAGCAGCAGGATTGCCACCAAGAAGCTGCTTGGAGATATTTTGGCTCAAATGCCTGGAATTCTGACTTGACACTAAATAGCAGGAGATTGCAGAACATACATCATGTACAACTGAGGAGACGTTGCACTCACCACTTGTAAATCTGCCCTCCTGTCATCATAAGATGACAGTTGGTGAACTGCACATTAGTACCACATTTGTCGAAGTTAATTGAATGGTATTTATTTATGTCAAAATAGAATCTGGCCAAACACACATTCTAAGGGGTCTTGTACTGCATGCTGCAATGCTGAAGTGGCTGTTGCAGTTCGATATTGATATTTTTGCACTGCCACTTCTTCTGAAAAGTTGAGATAATTCTGTATTATTCAAGGTAAATACCGCATACTGAAAATAAATAAATAAATAAATAAGCCTTACTTATAAGCAAAACAGAATTTCACTTTAATTGCCATCAAATTGAGGCACAAGAATTTTTCAAGGTACTGCGTTCAAACATTTTGGTGGCAGTGTGCCAACGGTCTGTTCAGAGTTTATTAATAATTAGATTTTTGTTCAAGCTTTAAGACAAGTGCTTTTAGAGAAAACAGTATTTAAAATGCAAATGCTGACATGAGGGTGACTTTGAAGTCTTTTAAAGACTCTGACTGCCAAATATGATTTACTCTATGGGTATATGTGTTTTATGAAGGTGACATGCACTCTGGCATTTGTTTATGGCATTGTGTGCCCTCCACTTATGTGGATTTCGGTTACGCTATATTTTTTTCACTTTGAGATGAGCATATGGAGCAGCAGAGATCCTAATCCTGCAGTGGGTCACAGCCAGAGATCTGATACAGAACTCTGATGTAGCTCTTGATACAGAATTCAGTTATGGACTGTTTAAAAAAAAATCCTTATAAGCAGTCTGACCTGCCTTTGTGCAATAGCTGCAGTCCTAATATTTTGAACTCTCTTCCATTCTTACTTTGTATCAGCAAACACCATTTTATGGAAAATAAGTCAGTGATTTTAGCCTGGTTTCTTTTTTTGTGTAAGATTACAAGTTTGAGTAATAAAGCTGATTGTCAGAAGTGCAGTGTATTAATGACACTGGAGAATATTTAATTATTAAAAATATAGGTTGTAAAATAACTAACAAGACCACATCTGTTTTCCTGTGTGCATTTTGGGGCTCACTTGTGCAAGAAAGATGTTGAAATACTGATGTGAGCTCAGTGGAAGGCAGCAAGATGAGTAGGGTTAATATGGATAATGTGGATAACATGGTATGCAAGGAGAAGCTGGCCATCATACTGAATTACATAACATGATCCCGAGCCCTCAACCCTGAGTCTGACCCTGCTTAGCAAATTTCAAGCCATTTGGAAGCAAATGGAAATTTAACAGGGCTAAAATTTGTAGGCGAAGTGTGGATTTCCAGAACAGCTGGAAAGAGCAATACAGAGGGTGTGACAGACATGGAACAATGATGTGGATCATTTGGTAACCTGCAGCCTCCAAAGAAAATATATTTTAATGAAGGCAAAGCCACAAATTACTTACATCCATTTGGGCTTAACAGCTCTGAATTGATGTTGTATGGACAAGCAGGTTGTTCTGCAGTTTGGTGTGACTTTTAATCATATGCAGTTCTAACTTTTTAGACTCATGTAATTTCCTGTTTCCAGAATTTATTCTATGTATGGAATAATATCAAGATGTTTGTTTTGTAGTTGAAAACAGATTTTGG